TTTTTTTTTTTTTTTTTTTTTTTTTTTTTTTTTTTTTTTTTTTTTTTTTTTTTTTTTTTTTTTTTTTTTTTTTTTTTTTTTTTTTTTTTTTTTTTTTTTTTTTTTTTTTTTTTTTTTTTTTTTTTTTTTTTTTTTTTTTTTTTTTTTTTTTTTTTTTTTTTTTTTTTTTTTTTTTTTTTTTTTTTTTTTTTTTTTTTTTTTTTTTTTTTTTTTTTTTTTTTTTTTTTTTTTTTTTTTTTTTTTTTTTTTTTTTTTTTTTTTTTTTTTTTTTTTTTTTTTTTTTTTTTTTTTTTTTTTTTTTTTTTTTTTTTTTTTTTTTTTTTTTTTTTTTTTTTTTTTTTTTTTTTTTTTTTTTTTTTTTTTTTTTTTTTTTTTTTTTTTTTTTTTTTTTTTTTTTTTTTTTTTTTTTTTTTTTTTTTTTTTTTTTTTTTTTTTTTTTTTTTTTTTTTTTTTTTTTTTTTTTTTTTTTTTTTTTTTTTTTTTTTTTTTTTTTTTTTTTTTTTTTTTTTTTTTTTTTTTTTTTTTTTTTTTTTTTTTTTTTTTTTTTTTTTTTTTTTTTTTTTTTTTTTTTTTTTTTTTTTTTTTTTTTTTTTTTTTTTTTTTTTTTTTTTTTTTTTTTTTTTTTTTTTTTTTTTTTTTTTTTTTTTTTTTTTTTTTTTTTTTTTTTTTTTTTTTTTTTTTTTTTTTTTTTTTTTTTTTTTTTTTTTTTTTTTTTTTTTTTTTTTTTTTTTTTTTTTTTTTTTTTTTTTTTTTTTTTTTTTTTTTTTTTTTTTTTTTTTTTTTTTTTTTTTTTTTTTTTTTTTTTTTTTTTTTTTTTTTTTTTTTTTTTTTTTTTTTTTTTTTTTTTTTTTTTTTTTTTTTTTTTTTTTTTTTTTTTTTTTTTTTTTTTTTTTTTTTTTTTTTTTTTTTTTTTTTTTTTTTTTTTTTTTTTTTTTTTTTTTTTTTTTTTTTTTTTTTTTTTTTTTTTTTTTTTTTTTTTTTTTTTTTTTTTTTTTTTTTTTTTTTTTTTTTTTTTTTTTTTTTTTTTTTTTTTTTTTTTTTTTTTTTTTTTTTTTTTTTTTTTTTTTTTTTTTTTTTTTTTTTTTTTTTTTTTTTTTTTTTTTTTTTTTTTTTTTTTTTTTTTTTTTTTTTTTTTTTTTTTTTTTTTTTTTTTTTTTTTTTTTTTTTTTTTTTTTTTTTTTTTTTTTTTTTTTTTTTTTTTTTTTTTTTTTTTTTTTTTTTTTTTTTTTTTTTTTTTTTTTTTTTTTTTTTTTTTTTTTTTTTTTTTTTTTTTTTTTTTTTTTTTTTTTTTTTTTTTTTTTTTTTTTTTTTTTTTTTTTTTTTTTTTTTTTTTTTTTTTTTTTTTTTTTTTTTTTTTTTTTTTTTTTTTTTTTTTTTTTTTTTTTTTTTTTTTTTTTTTTTTTTTTTTTTTTTTTTTTTTTTTTTTTTTTTTTTTTTTTTTTTTTTTTTTTTTTTTTTTTTTTTTTTTTTTTTTTTTTTTTTTTTTTTTTTTTTTTTTTTTTTTTTTTTTTTTTTTTTTTTTTTTTTTTTTTTTTTTTTTTTTTTTTTTTTTTTTTTTTTTTTTTTTTTTTTTTTTTTTTTTTTTTTTTTTTTTTTTTTTTTTTTTTTTTTTTTTTTTTTTTTTTTTTTTTTTTTTTTTTTTTTTTTTTTTTTTTTTTTTTTTTTTTTTTTTTTTTTTTTTTTTTTTTTTTTTTTTTTTTTTTTTTTTTTTTTTTTTTTTTTTTTTTTTTTTTTTTTTTTTTTTTTTTTTTTTTTTTTTTTTTTTTTTTTTTTTTTTTTTTTTTTTTTTTTTTTTTTTTTTTTTTTTTTTTTTTTTTTTTTTTTTTTTTTTTTTTTTTTTTTTTTTTTTTTTTTTTTTTTTTTTTTTTTTTTTTTTTTTTTTTTTTTTTTTTTTTTTTTTTTTTTTTTTTTTTTTTTTTTTTTTTTTTTTTTTTTTTTTTTTTTTTTTTTTTTTTTTTTTTTTTTTTTTTTTTTTTTTTTTTTTTTTTTTTTTTTTTTTTTTTTTTTTTTTTTTTTTTTTTTTTTTTTTTTTTTTTTTTTTTTTTTTTTTTTTTTTTTTTTTTTTTTTTTTTTTTTTTTTTTTTTTTTTTTTTTTTTTTTTTTTTTTTTTTTTTTTTTTTTTTTTTTTTTTTTTTTTTTTTTTTTTTTTTTTTTTTTTTTTTTTTTTTTTTTTTTTTTTTTTTTTTTTTTTTTTTTTTTTTTTTTTTTTTTTTTTTTTTTTTTTTTTTTTTTTTTTTTTTTTTTTTTTTTTTTTTTTTTTTTTTTTTTTTTTTTTTTTTTTTTTTTTTTTTTTTTTTTTTTTTTTTTTTTTTTTTTTTTTTTTTTTTTTTTTTTTTTTTTTTTTTTTTTTTTTTTTTTTTTTTTTTTTTTTTTTTTTTTTTTTTTTTTTTTTTTTTTTTTTTTTTTTTTTTTTTTTTTTTTTTTTTTTTTTTTTTTTTTTTTTTTTTTTTTTTTTTTTTTTTTTTTTTTTTTTTTTTTTTTTTTTTTTTTTTTTTTTTTTTTTTTTTTTTTTTTTTTTTTTTTTTTTTTTTTTTTTTTTTTTTTTTTTTTTTTTTTTTTTTTTTTTTTTTTTTTTTTTTTTTTTTTTTTTTTTTTTTTTTTTTTTTTTTTTTTTTTTTTTTTTTTTTTTTTTTTTTTTTTTTTTTTTTTTTTTTTTTTTTTTTTTTTTTTTTTTTTTTTTTTTTTTTTTTTTTTTTTTTTTTTTTTTTTTTTTTTTTTTTTTTTTTTTTTTTTTTTTTTTTTTTTTTTTTTTTTTTTTTTTTTTTTTTTTTTTTTTTTTTTTTTTTTTTTTTTTTTTTTTTTTTTTTTTTTTTTTTTTTTTTTTTTTTTTTTTTTTTTTTTTTTTTTTTTTTTTTTTTTTTTTTTTTTTTTTTTTTTTTTTTTTTTTTTTTTTTTTTTTTTTTTTTTTTTTTTTTTTTTTTTTTTTTTTTTTTTTTTTTTTTTTTTTTTTTTTTTTTTTTTTTTTTTTTTTTTTTTTTTTTTTTTTTTTTTTTTTTTTTTTTTTTTTTTTTTTTTTTTTTTTTTTTTTTTTTTTTTTTTTTTTTTTTTTTTTTTTTTTTTTTTTTTTTTTTTTTTTTTTTTTTTTTTTTTTTTTTTTTTTTTTTTTTTTTTTTTTTTTTTTTTTTTTTTTTTTTTTTTTTTTTTTTTTTTTTTTTTTTTTTTTTTTTTTTTTTTTTTTTTTTTTTTTTTTTTTTTTTTTTTTTTTTTTTTTTTTTTTTTTTTTTTTTTTTTTTTTTTTTTTTTTTTTTTTTTTTTTTTTTTTTTTTTTTTTTTTTTTTTTTTTTTTTTTTTTTTTTTTTTTTTTTTTTTTTTTTTTTTTTTTTTTTTTTTTTTTTTTTTTTTTTTTTTTTTTTTTTTTTTTTTTTTTTTTTTTTTTTTTTTTTTTTTTTTTTTTTTTTTTTTTTTTTTTTTTTTTTTTTTTTTTTTTTTTTTTTTTTTTTTTTTTTTTTTTTTTTTTTTTTTTTTTTTTTTTTTTTTTTTTTTTTTTTTTTTTTTTTTTTTTTTTTTTTTTTTTTTTTTTTTTTTTTTTTTTTTTTTTTTTTTTTTTTTTTTTTTTTTTTTTTTTTTTTTTTTTTTTTTTTTTTTTTTTTTTTTTTTTTTTTTTTTTTTTTTTTTTTTTTTTTTTTTTTTTTTTTTTTTTTTTTTTTTTTTTTTTTTTTTTTTTTTTTTTTTTTTTTTTTTTTTTTTTTTTTTTTTTTTTTTTTTTTTTTTTTTTTTTTTTTTTTTTTTTTTTTTTTTTTTTTTTTTTTTTTTTTTTTTTTTTTTTTTTTTTTTTTTTTTTTTTTTTTTTTTTTTTTTTTTTTTTTTTTTTTTTTTTTTTTTTTTTTTTTTTTTTTTTTTTTTTTTTTTTTTTTTTTTTTTTTTTTTTTTTTTTTTTTTTTTTTTTTTTTTTTTTTTTTTTTTTTTTTTTTTTTTTTTTTTTTTTTTTTTTTTTTTTTTTTTTTTTTTTTTTTTTTTTTTTTTTTTTTTTTTTTTTTTTTTTTTTTTTTTTTTTTTTTTTTTTTTTTTTTTTTTTTTTTTTTTTTTTTTTTTTTTTTTTTTTTTTTTTTTTTTTTTTTTTTTTTTTTTTTTTTTTTTTTTTTTTTTTTTTTTTTTTTTTTTTTTTTTTTTTTTTTTTTTTTTTTTTTTTTTTTTTTTTTTTTTTTTTTTTTTTTTTTTTTTTTTTTTTTTTTTTTTTTTTTTTTTTTTTTTTTTTTTTTTTTTTTTTTTTTTTTTTTTTTTTTTTTTTTTTTTTTTTTTTTTTTTTTTTTTTTTTTTTTTTTTTTTTTTTTTTTTTTTTTTTTTTTTTTTTTTTTTTTTTTTTTTTTTTTTTTTTTTTTTTTTTTTTTTTTTTTTTTTTTTTTTTTTTTTTTTTTTTTTTTTTTTTTTTTTTTTTTTTTTTTTTTTTTTTTTTTTTTTTTTTTTTTTTTTTTTTTTTTTTTTTTTTTTTTTTTTTTTTTTTTTTTTTTTTTTTTTTTTTTTTTTTTTTTTTTTTTTTTTTTTTTTTTTTTTTTTTTTTTTTTTTTTTTTTTTTNTTGCAAAAGGGGTTAAATCAATTTCTAAACAGAGATCGAAGACATTAGATTATGTTGAGAAATTGCTTTTGCTTTGGATAACTGAAAAACAGTGCTGCAGACAGCGTATCGGAAGCAATTATTTGCGAGAAAGCTAAAAAGATACACGCTGATCTCACGAAAAATCAAGCAGGAACTAGCCAGGAAAGCGAGGTGTTTAAAGCCAGCCATTTTTTTTACACGAGAACGGATTAATCATTTTTACATTACTTCTTATGGGAAAGGTTGGTTCGGTATACGTCCAATTCGGTATAAGTCCAAACATTGGGAACGGATTAAGGTCGTATACCGAGGTTCCACTGTAATTTGGTATGTACTTATCTTTACTTAAATTAATTCAAAAATTAGATATAATAATTTCATTTCTGTTGTAATTCTATAGTTTATCTCCCTCTGTAAAAACTAAAAACATTCATGTATAAAAGTGTATGCGATGTGTAATATTACCTGTAATTTCCGAAATTCTGTAAGAAAAACAGATCTTGGTCCAACTTTTGGTATTAATTCAGCAATCACATCTTTAGTTAATAGGTGAAAATTAATTCTGGTAACTTCATTTTCTACAAAAATAAAAAAGTAAAAAATTGATAAGTTGTTTTCAAATAAAAGAGAGTTTATAAAATTATCAATATTTCAAAACAAAATTTCTCAAATAATTTGATTACAGTCTCCAACAAAATTTAGCAACATATTTATAAACACAGGATGGTAAATATTTAGATAATCTTTATAGAGTAATCTTTATAGAAAATTAAGCAATAACAACAAAATTTGAAAGTAATGCAAAAATTTTAAACTGAGAAAAAATGACAACATGAACATCAAGAAAAAACACAAAAATTTTTGTTGGGATAAAATAATACTGTAAATATTTCATTGTAATAAGTTATAAACTGAATCAAATCAATATTTTAAATGTTATTCAGGTCAACTACTGTGCTGTGTTTTTCCATAAATTTGTTTTATGCTTCTTTGAAAATAAAAAAAATCAAATTATTGTAATATATTGATAGATGTTAGTTATTTTCACTCTGCATGTGAATATATTTTTAAATAAAATGTTCTAGAATTTACTTTACAAGTAAATATCAGGTCAGTCCATAAGTTCATGCATATTTTATGACCTTGAGAAAAATCTTGTTTTGCTGTTAAAAATGCCAGTCTAATGTGATACTTTTTACACTGAAGTGTTAAATTGGATCTCATTCATATAATACTGTTCAGAATTGAGAACATTTCAGTTGTTTATTTTCGTTAAAATGGAAGTAACAGATGAATATAAGAGATGTGTTTTATACTTTTTATTTTTAAGTGATGAGAATGCTACAAATGCAGCCAAAAAATTAAATACTGTTCATAATAAAACTGTAATTAGTGTAAGGACTGCGCACAAGTGGTTTGAAAGATTTAGAAGTAATGATTTTAGTGTGGAGGATAAGGCTCGTACTGGAAGACCTGTTGGCTTTGATGATGATGCTCTCTCTGCACTAGTTGAAGCAGAACCATCTTTAACAGTTGATGAAATTGCGGAACGTTTAAATTCATCCCATGGAACTGTTCATAGACATCTACAACAAATAGGAAAAGTTTCAAAGCTAGGAAAATGGATACCACATGAACTGTCAATAGCTAACTGACAACAACGTCAACTGCTCAACTCAAAATCTTCAACTGGGAAATTTTACCTCATCCACCATATTTGCCAGATATTGCTCCCAGTGATTATCAACTTTTTTGGAGTTTGCAGAATTTTTTAAAAGTGAAAACTTTTGAGGATGAGAACAATGTAAAAAAGGCTATTTCTGAATATTTTGATTCAAAACCGAAATCATTTTACAAAGACGGGATTAAAAAGCTACCATCAAGATGGCAAGAAATTGTACAAAATAATGGTGAATACATTATAAATTGAAATAAGATTTAATTAAAATTTTTTGCTGCTTTTTTTTGTAGATAAAAATGCGCACGAACTTATGGACTACCTGATACATCTTTTAAAATATGTTCTAGAAATTGTTTTAAATATTCTTGTTGTTTTTGAAAGAACCCAAAGAAAACATTTGAAAGACCCAAAGAAAACATTTTTATGTCAAAATGTTTGTTGTTAATAAGCTGCTAATTAAGACCAAAAAACTAAATTTTTTATCATATTCTTACAGTTATCTCAGTATACTGTACTATACTTCGTAATATGTATATTGTATCCCATCTTTTCTCTTTCTCTCGATTATCTCTTCTATAGTTTTTGCAGGTTATCATCACTTATAATATGACCAAAATACACAATTTTTCTTAATTACTTTTTCTTCTCCTATCATACATTTAGAATCAAATTCATGCATTGGATAGCTGGTTGCCAAAGTGAAAGACATTAATCTGCCATTCTAAGGGATCTGGATTGAATTCAGGTTAGATTCTATAACTTTTATGGATTGTTTGACTAGAATATATTAAATCCTGTTCCTCAACAGCTGTCCAATCGTGGGGCTCATGATGGGCAGATAATCTTAATGACCACAGAATAAAATTTTATACATTTTCTGATGTTTTCCTAAATAGTGTTTCATTGCTTTGTTTTATTTGTACTTTTTGTGAGAGTCCAGGATTGACAAAAAGAGATTTTTCGGGTGAAAATTTAATTTAATTTTTGAAATTAAAACTTTTATAATTTTTCCCACGATTGTTAAAATTGTAAAGGATATGATTTTATTCCTCTGTGGAGTCACTTCCCTTTCAAGATGATACATCGAATATGTCACCAGGAACTTGGCAACGAGAAATTGTTATTGGACATAGGCACTGCAACATTGCCAAAAACGGACAAGGGAGAAAAGAGGGAGGACTCCCAATAAAAGGCAATGACTGATGCCGACAACAGTTCATCCATCTTACCAGGAGTTCGTCCGCCAACAAAGGGAACAGTTCATTCGTCCAAGAATCTGCTGCCATCAAAAGTTCATCCTAATCAAAGTTGCCTCAATAATCAGATACCTTAGTGACCTTCCTCCATCCTTAGTGATCCTTCATGAACTCCATAAAAGTGAACTCCTCCTAAAGTGAACTCCATCGAAAAATGAACTCCATTAAGCCTTTGCATCATCTCAGATCCCTTATCAGGTATCTATGAACCTTATATGTAAACTCTCTCTCTCCAACTTCGAACTCACGAACTAGTTAACATCAAGGACGAAGCTTTAAATGCAAGATATTAGCCTTGCTTGTATACATTTAGGTAGTTACAGTAAATAAATGGAAATTTGTTATTGTTAGATATGTGTTTGGTGCACTTCCTCAACCTGTGCCATCTTTCGAGTTGGAACTAAGTGCCTACAATGCGACCGCTCACAAAAAACTGAAGGCTTCAACCACCAACAAGGCTTCTGTGTCTGCCTAAAAGACACAGTGGTGTCAGTCCTGACAAACTAGTCATCGCAAACACAGTGTCGACCCTTTGGTCCCATGATTCCAAAGCATAGGGGCACTTCGCACATTGTCACATTTTCATATGTACAATATATTCTTTTCAATATTATGAAAAACAAAATATCATAACTTTCTGAAGAAAATCTGCAGCTTACCTGCAGCTTATTTAAAAATTGATATGAAATCAGACAAGGGCTAATTGATGATGCACATTATAATTGAAACTTAAAATTTGCAGATAAACTTGTCAACTGTTTAAACTTATAAAGAGCATCTTCAAAAGAGTGAAAAATCCTTTGCATGCAACAGATTTATTCTCTGCTATGGCAATGTTGAAACCATTAAAGACACAAAAGCCTTGCCTTTAATTCACTCCAATTTGTTCTACACTTTAAACTATTATCATTAGGCACGCCTACTTACATTTTTACCTTAAAGACTAATAAATATTAAATAATTCCATCCTGTTTTTATAATAAATCCCAAAACTATTTAGAAGCCAATTGTCAATTTTATCCTATTTTAATTCTCTTCTAACAAATAGCAGATGAGCAATCAACTCTCAAACATGTCATTGGATATTTTCAACATTAAAATTTTTTCGATTTAATTTTCTTTTGTCTGAATCTAACCTACTAATCCTAATCAAAGGATTATTACACATAATGGGAGTAAAATGTTTAAATGCATAGTTTTGATCCTATTTTTTTCATTGAACCTACCAATTCATCAAATGACAACTGTTCACAACTCGCTTTCATGCTGCAGGTTTACCATATAATCACCTGACCAGTTTGATTTCACTGATCTGTTGAAGTAGCTTATAGAAGAATAGATTCATTCATTATCTGAAAATCTCAGAAAGTATAAGATAGATGAATAGGACCATGTAGAACTTTTATTTAATAAGTTAGTATACAGACAAAAATATAGATTCAGTTACCCACTAGCAGAAATTCAAAGAACTGTTAATGATGTCTTACAAGATTTTAACAAATTATTTTTTTTTCAAGGAAGACTTTTTGAATGTTATAAATTTGGAATATGATTCAATTCCTAATCCATCAAATCATTCTTAACTGCACTTCATTCCTTTGTTAGAAAAGTGTGATTATGGAAGTTTAAATATACATTACAGAGAGAAAATTATTATTGATATACTTTACAATATATAATGATGACTGAGCAGTTACAATTAAGTCTACTTTAATCCTTGAAGAAGCAACCTAAATTGCCAGGCAGGCAGAGCAACAAAACCACCAAAGTTAATTACTACATTGTACAGCCCAAGATAATGTATAAAAAAAAATCCAGCAAAATGTTAGGTAACTTTCCCAGCTGTTATACTTTGAATAAAATCTCAACTTATATTATTAATCATAACAAATGATATTGTGTGTGGCATCATCAGTTACGAGATTATTGTTACAAAAAACTTTATATTATTAATTATTATGAAATGACAAAAATGGTTAATTTTGAGGATAGGAATGAGTTTTATAAAAAATTGTAAATGTTAATAATGAGTAAAATCTTCATTAAGTCTGATCCTCTCAAGATATGATACATGATCCTCTTCTATCTCCCCACTCGTTCAACCTTTAACTACCAAAATTTAATAGCAACAATGCCCCTTCACAATTTTTAGCAATTGTAAGTTACCTATTAAGACTGTGAAATGGGATTTTGCAGTTTTGATAGGTAACTTATAATTGTCAAGTAATTGTGAATTATTACAAAAGTGTATTAATTTAATGCTATTAAATTTTGGAAGTTAAAAGCCCACATATTTTTGTGGAATGACTGGAATGCTACATGTAACCAGGAGAGACCAGCATGCCAGTATAATAAAACAATAGCATTGTAATCTGACTGACTTAAAATCAGGAAGAAAGTTTTTGTTTATAGGACAATAAAACAATTAATGGATTATTGACATTAGCAGCAGCAGCAGAAGTAGTTATAGTCTGTCTATAGAAAGAATCAATTTGGATATTAATCAATGAGTATCAGCCATTGATTGCTTAGTTGTGGAAAGTTACTTCTTGTTTCTTCCTCATCTGTTAAACACATCACCATCATATAAATAGTGTTATGAAAGCTTCAAGTTCTGGTATCGTATATGAGGAAGTTCATT